ACTGCTAAATTAGGAACGGCTAGCGCAGAAAGCCCTCGTGTAGCTTTGCGCGAAATCCATAACAAACAATTTAATAGAAATATGTTCTAATATACATGAGCTTTCTTTGTATATATATATGTTAACTTTACATCATTAGTTAGTTCAAACATTTATTTATTTTACCCTGTAACAGATATGACAAATTTAAATATGGTATATCATCATTAACCCTCTATTACACATTGTAACGTAAAGGTACAAATCCTTGATCCACATACCAATGTTTCAATTCTGTAGTTCAATGCTCTTACATCTGGTAACAGCCTAAACGGCCCTCAGTGGCACAGCGGAATGTCTGCGGACTTACAACGCTAGAAACCGGGCTTAATTACAAACAAAAAAAAACAACCCAACTATACAATTAGATTATCTTTGCTGGTCCGTCAATCAGACAATGTCACTTCTAGATAATGTACTTAAAACTTATCAAAATATGTTTCACAAAGACATATTTTTTGTGGAAAAAAAATTCCACCGTATTTTCATAATACGTACAAAAATACGGTATATTAGGGGAAGCTATAAACACAGATTCAGCGTCTTGTACCAATCCCCACTTTCAGACTTTTCACCTGTTATACATTCTAACGTATGGGGTTTTGGAGAGCAATTCACCATTAAAATTATAAACCAACAAATGTCAGTACATGCTGTGAACATTTCAGTTTAATATCTACAGGTGTAGTTTTGTTTCGTGTCGATCCTCGTTTGATTACATTACATCCTACTATACCTAGAAGTACGGTAGTGACTCCAGCCAAGTTAGAATCATTAGATCTCAAGTTATCACACCGGACAATGTGCAGGTCATTAGATGTGGAGTTATCACACCGCACGGATTATAATCCGCTGTTTTACTTTGCTTTGTCTATAGAAGATATTTTGATTGGCCACAGCCTACTTGAACTCGCTGATCAGTGCTCAGGTCATATTCTAGTTGACCACACTCTTCCACTGATCAGTGTAATGACGAAATATGCCATTTTTTTAGAAAGAAAACAATTTACGAAGAAAACAAAAGGCAAGCATAGAAATGGAGAAACCAAACACTTGGCATAAGTTAAGCCTACTTCAAATTCATTATGTAACCAATTAACTTATTATGTGATAAAGTTCTTACAGTAAATGTGTACGTTGTTTAAAAGAGCTGGCATAGCGTTAGCTAGATTAGTGCATTGACGTATATTTGTGTAATTCAATATATATATGGATAAAATAACAATATTAGTTTATATGATAATTCAGAAATATATCTGGACATATCTAATAATAATTCAATAATTACATGGAATTTGTTCACTTTCAAACATTCTACATTAATGTTGTTGGTTTTTGTTCATAGCCACATATATCCACCATCAAACTGATTTCTAGAGTCGGCTACACCGTATCATTCTCTGCCTTGGTCGTTGCGTTTCTCATGTTGGCGTTCCTGAGGTAAGTTAAACCTACAGAAATTGTAAGATTTCTACAATGACTGTTGCGTTCCTGAGGTAAGTTGAACCTACAGAAATTGTAAGATTTCTACTATGACCGTTGTGTTCCTGAGGTAAGTTGAACCTACAGAGAGGTAAGTTGAACCTACAGAAATTGTAAGATCTCTACTATGACCGTTGCGTTCCTGAGGTAAGTTGAACCTACAGAAATTGTAAGATTTCTACTATGACCGTTGCGTTCCTGAGGGAAGTTGAACCTACAGAGAGGTAAGTTGAACCTACAGAAATTGTAAGATCTCTACTATGACCGTTGCGTTCCTGAGGGAAGTTGAACCTACAGAAATTGTAAGATTTCTACTATGACCGTTGCGTTCCTGAGGGAAGTTGAACCTACAGAAATTGTAAGAAGATTTATCACACCGTACAATGTGCAGGTCATTAGATCTCAAGTTATCACACCGTACACTGTGCAGGTTATTAGATCTGGAGTTATCACACCGGACAATGTGCAGGTCATTAGATCTCAAGTTATCACACCGTACAATGTGCAGGTCATTAGATGTGGAGTTATCACACCGGACAATGTGCAGGTTATTAGATCTGGAGTTATCACACCGTACACTGTGCAAGAAGATATAATAACCTGCACA